CTATATTGATTAGCAATAAAGAAAATATCCCCAAAGATATGGCCACAGGCCAAGCTGGCTGAGGCAATTCCCCCAGTGAGATTCCCTCAGATGACTCAAATTGACAGTGTCAGAGAGAGTCTTCTTTTTTCAGGGATCCAGCCAGGGAGGCTCCCCCTGCTCCAGTAGATGATCTCACATCCATGCACACACAGGAACCACGAAACAGACTCAGTGAACCTTTTTTTTTTTTTTCAAGAGTACATGAAATTTGAAGGGAAACATGGTATAGGAGAGATGGGGGGAATCAGAGGAGAGGAAATGGGGGCTAGCTTTTATCAAAACACGTTATATACATGTACGAAATTCTCAAACCCCGAAAAAGAAATTAAAAAAACAATGCAACCACAATTTGGTTGAATTGTCAGTGGTCTTACCCGGTGCTGTATTCTGCATGCTGCAATACAAACCTGCCAGGCCAGATAAACCCAGCAGTGCAATAATGGCATGATGGTTATGGGGTAACTAACCGCATTCTGATCGGATTTGAAGCTGATCCTCAGGAACGAATCTCAGGTGGGTCTGTAATCTTGGTTAAAGGCACATGGCTGGAGAAGACATAGGCCCTAGGGTAGAACACGCTATTATTACTTTGCAAAATCGTCATCTAATTGGCTGCTGAATATTTATGTTTATACCCATAGACCTGGGCTGCACTAAGCCTTGGTCACAGAAGCTTTTTTTTAATTTAATTTAACTTAATTTTTTGGTTTTTCGAGACAGGGTTTCTCTGTGTAGCTTTGCGCCTTTCCTGGATCTTGCTCTGTAGACCAGGCTGGCCTCAAACTCACAAAGATCTGCCTGCCTCTGCCTCCCGAGTGCTGGGATTAAAGGCGTGCGCCACCACCGCCCGGCATAATTTTATTTTTTTAAAACAATTTATTTATTTTTATTTTATGTGCAATGATGTATGCATGTATTTCTGTGTGAGGGTGTCAGATCTTAGAGTTACAGACAGTTGTTAGCTGCCATGTGGGGGCTGGGAATTGAACCCGGGTCCTCTGGCAGAGCAGTTGGTGCTCTGAACCACTGAGCCATCACTCCAGGCCCTATTTTTTTTTTTATTTTTATTTCGTTGTTTTTGCAGGGGAAGCAGTCAAGGGAGAAAGTCATAATTGGTCAAAAATGCTGAGAATAAGAGACTGAGTGCTCAGTTCTAAACAGGACATCTCTTCTCAAGTGCTGTCCGTCAACACGACCAAGGTTTGGGGCATATAACAGAAGCAGAGGCAGAGAGTGTACACGCCTGAGAACAGAGAAGAACATTGTGAAATGCTGTCTTCTGCGCATGGCACAGCTATCACACTCGTAAACTCACAACAGCTGTGGTTACCTGCACATGGCCTGCAGAGATCAAACTAGATAAAATTCTGTCACAGATGTGGCACGTGATCTCCAGGCCCTATCCCTTGTGGGTAGTGGATAATGTCGTGAGTGAATGGGTTGTTGGCCCAGGCTTGGCAATGTCAAGGATGCTCATGTTTCAAGCTCACAGGACTGGAAAGGCCTTCCCCTAGTCCAAGTACTGAGGCTGACAGTTTGTGCAGAAAGAATCAACCACCGTTTCCTCCTAGATGACTGCATCCTGATACTGCTCTGCTAACAGAGACCCTCTGCACGGAGGCTAGCTACCCCACACCCTCCATCAGCTGTGTATAATAAACCCGCCTCCATCCGCCTCCTCATGCAACTGTGTATAATAAATGTGCTGAGTTTCTGGCTTCTAGTGCTTCTCCATCACAGCCCACAGCCCACTCAATCCCTTTTCTGTACGTTATGTCTGTCATTTCTTCATTCTTTGTTTCCCCCGTCAGGTCAATCCCAAAGCCATGCAGGTCTTACAATCCTTTACTGAAGAACTAGTGGCAGTTGATCATTGCTGGGGGAAGGAGAATCATGCTTTTTTCATAGAGTATGGCCACTGGTAGGACTCCCATGATCCTGCGAATGGGCCATGCACAAATGGGGAGCACCAACCGGATTTCGTAGTTTTATGCAAATTTTGAGACATGAAGTTGAGAGGGAGATTTGTTGAGAGGGGTATGGAGGGAGTTGGAGGTGGGAAATGGGGGCTAAATATGATCGTATTTCATTGCATAACTGTATGAAACTCTCAGGAATCAACAAAAAATCAAACAAAAATTTCAGAAAGAAATATGAAACAAAATACAATCATAAGGCGATACTCCACACTTACATAACCACCAGAACTTTCTACAGTGATCACTTCTAGTCCTGAGAGAAGACCATGTCGAGGGCACCTTGATATATTGATATAAATTGTTAGGATTTGGTTTTCAAAACAGCTTGATAACAAATGCCAGAAGCCCAAAGATGTCCCTAAAGATGTCCATACCGTTCTGTTTGCTCATCCGGGTGCGCAGGATTTATACAAGGAGTTGATTTACTGGAGAAGATGGTTTCCTTCAATAAATAGTCATTCCTTCTAAGACAGTCCCTACAACAACAAAAAATGACACTGTCCTATGACAGACGAATCATTTAGAAAACTCCATGCCATATCAACTAAAAATATTATGTGATGTTAAAATGTAATCAGATGACTACATGATCAAATATGAAAATGGTGCTTTATGACATAGTTAAATTTCAAAAAATAAAAAAAAAAAAACAAACGCATGCGCACAAAGATGGCGAGGCCTCCGAAGCCTCCCACGTATATACCACCCTACCCCGCTTTAGCTTCTATGTCTGTTAGGCCTGGCGATGGTCCTAAATGAAACGACCCAGATTGCTAGGCCCTAGAGAGTACAGCGCTTGGCCACTCTTTCCTTTCTGATCTCTGCCTGCTGCAAGGGATGTCATGAAAATTGCCTGAGGTTGAATATATTTCTCCCTCTGTAGCAATAGTCCTAGTTCCACCAGGTGATTAGGGTCAATTACTCCTTCAGGCCAGCAACTTCTTTCCAAGCCTGCTGCTGACTTCTTGGCACAGGAAACCTAAGGTGACCGGGCAACAAATGAAACTTGAAATGGAAGGGGGATGCTTGCTGTGTACCAGGCAGAGCATCTTAGTTTTTGGAGCCAAGATTTGTGAACATGCAATTGCAGAGCCGTAGGGATGGAAAGTGAAAATTTTTCACATGGGTTCCTGAGAGAGCAGGTAATCAAGGCCACTGCTGCTTCAACCTTTGCTCCCAGAACTCTGCATTCTACCCATTAGGGACAGCATACCATGTGGTTGCTGTCTCAGGAGCTCCTGGAGAAGCTATAATATTGCCATTTTTATACGGTGCTGAGTGGGATAGGATCACATGACCCCATGGCCATGCGCTCACTGACACATCTTCTTCTCTTTAAAGTGTCTTTTTTTTTTTTTTTTT